TTCAGTGACTTTAGTGTTCAGGGATTGCTGTTCGGAGGGCCCAGGGGACATCGCACTGGGGAAACACCTGATGACTTGGCACCTGGAATCCTAGGACAGGGAAGGAGCACTTCGACTGCGAGTTTGGGGATGGAAAAGATGGCATGTTGACACCAGTGCTATGTGGGAATAATGCGGGTGACTGGCAACTGAAAAAGGGCGCCCTCCTTGACATGCCTTCAGCACGGACATCAAGTATAGTCGGCTATAACCTAAACTCTAACCTCAAAAGTCAATATGAGCTATAGTCTCAACTCCGAGCATTCCCTTTAGTAGTCTCTATAGTACTCCTCTATAATCCCCTAGCGGCCCCCTCAAGTAGTTTAGACTACATGGAAGGGGTTCCCTGTCGCCTTATGGCAGGGTCAGCCCTAAACTCCCAGTAATTCTATGCATATTCACACCCTCTATATGCTTACTGGAATGTGCAAAATTCAGTCTTAGGAAAGATCTATTGAACAGGAGCTTCCTAAGGCCTTCACTGTGGATCTTCCGGGATTACAACGAGCAGGAAGATCTAACCTCCGAAGCCCTAAACCCTACACCCTAAACCCCTAAATCCTAAACCCTATGGTACCCTAAGCAAGGTAGGAATACCTCAAGCCAGCAAAAATGCCATGCCCAAAATCCTAAAACCTAACCCTAGCATTCCTGGGAAGTACCTTTAGAAAACCGAGTTCCCACTTCAAGCTCCATGCTCTTTTTCATTTGATTCTCCATGGTTGGTGAACTATCCCCAGACGCCAAACCCTAAACAGTAGCTTCCATTATCTTTCCGTCACTCCTCTACTACCCTATATAACCCTATGTAACCCCATATAACCCCATATAAACCTGATACAACCCTCTATATAAGCCCTAATATTGAGAGAGATCTTCGGGTAGTTTAGTTGGAGACAGCCGGTACTCCAGGGCCTCCGCTGCCATATCTGCCTCGAACCCCTCAGTCGAGTTAGCTTCCGGTGGATCCTGGCGGTCAGGGTGTTTGTGGGGCTTGGGGCTTTTGAGGGTTAGAGATTATTTGGTAGAGGGTGGGGTCTAAAGCTTCCGGGTTTGTTGGTTCAGGCTTAGGGTTTATGTGTATAAGACTCAGAGGTTAAGGCTATGGCGGATGCAGGTTGTGAAGAGCTCTTCTGGGGCCAGCGTGCTCAGGCAGCTTGCTTCCATCGGGACTATGTGTTTGAATCGCTTCTTCGCCAAACCCCTGATCAGCCCTCATGGTGTCAGAACAGAAGAACAATTTCTAGTACGAAGTTCGCAAGAGGCCATCCGCACGATCCCTTAAACGTTAAGCCAACAGACTCAAACCCCAAACCCTGAACCCCAAACCCTGAACCCCAAAACACTAAACCCTCTACACCTGACGACCAACCCTGAGCCCCAAACCTGAATCCTGAAAAACCCTGAGCCCGAAACCCCAAACCATCAACCTCAATTCATGAACCTATCCACTGAAGCCTAAACCCTCATATAAATATGGGTGCGTATATATATATTTTATATATATATATATACACATACACATGCTTATACATGCTATCCATACACGGGCAAGTGCACATGCATATACAGATACATATTTTACGTACATATATATGTGTATATATATATATACCTGAACATATCCTGAAGCATGCAGGAGGGATCTAAGACGGCGTGCCTCGACTGCAGCTGTCTCCTCAGGCGGGACATCGACCGTGTCGGTCGCCTGTTCCGTTTATAGTGACTATAAAGCCTAGGAATTAGGGTAGAGACTCGGGTCAAACCGTAGGGTTAGGGATTAGGGTAGAGGGACTGCAGCGTTTAGCGATGAGGGGTTAGGGTTAAGTAGGTTGGCTGCACCCAAATTCCACTACAAAAGGTTGCTTGCAATGTGAGGGAATAGGAAGCTATTGCATGAGTTAGGGGGTGTAGAAGGCTGGGTAACTCGACCCTTATAGAGCTGTGACAAGCTCTAAAAAACCATGGGGGCTAAAGTCAGGATGTGAAAGCAATACACGTAGCAAAGCTGCTGCTTAAACAAGCCAAGTGCGAACAACGGAAGATAAAGCAGACAACACAACTTGAATCTGCTAGAACAGCTTCCCGTTGAAGCTTCTATTGTTACAGACGAATCACCCTCAACATCTGGACGCTTCAAACCGCTGTGACTCCCTTCAAGTTTCAAAAGCTGGGCATGTATAAAAACTTCAGAACCTGAGGCTGACCCAATGTCGGACTTTTTGTATAGTGACCCCTTGGCGAGATTGCTATAATTCGCCCAGCTATCCCTCTTGATACAATCCGATACTATCCGTCTACACCCCTGTAAACCCTTCAAGTTCCACTTCTTTGTCTAAGGTTGATCATCTTGTTCATATGCTTGCCAAGTATTGCTTCCAGACTTCGCCATCTTCGAGTGGACGTGCCAAGGGGCCCCATACCCGAGAAACCTTCGGAAGCCTTATCCAGAGTTTCAGGAAGGTTTGATATGAGACATAGGTTTTGGAGCCAACGTCTTCAAAATCTAATTCGGGTACGGCGCGGGGCTGGGCGTATCAGGATACCTTCCTTCAATGGGCTTCGGCTGAATCATCAACCTGATCCTGCTTCCACTTCTCCTCAACTCCGGCATCCACAGAGCCCAGATCTTTGGCTTTGACCGAAAAGACCCACCGCTTCACCGCCCCCCGGAAGTTGCCCCAGAGTCAGGCGGTTTTTAGGTGAAGGAAGAACCCTGAAACCCTTGGGGGCCCTTGGAACAAGACCCCGCGTAGAGAGAGAAAGAGAGAGAGAGAGAGAGAGCTCTATATATATATATACACACACACATATCGTGTATGTATACGAAATAAATGGCGAGGCAATGAGGGCATAAGGGTTCACTGTTTGCGTGAGTTGCTGAAGCATATAGCTGCATGGCCGAGCCACTGCACGCAAAGCTCCCATAGGAGTGTCCATCCATAAACAATTCGCTTCAATTTATGCACGTTCCTGTTGTCATATGGGTCCTTGAGGTAGCTTCACCAGATTGGGGAAGTTCGGGCTGCAAGCCTCTCAATAACAACGGCTAAGACATACAACCCCTAAACTCTGAATCTAAATCCTAAGCCCAGAACCCCTCATCCGTAATCGCGTCAGGCACCCAGCCTCGTCATGTTCCTCTTGTTGAGCAACGGGCGCCTCTTCTGGCACGACAGCCGCCTCCTGGCTCAACAGGCTGGGGTTGAAGTGTCTCCCCAATGATGGAGAAGCAAATGGGTGGTTGTCCCTTTTTGGGTACCCTCAATAGTAGGTGCCGTATTACAATGGGGATCCAAAAAGGGACCAGAATTTTGACAACCACCCAAATGGACATGAACATGGAAAATGAAACCAAAGCTAAGGTTAATGTGCGGGTATCACTTACCCCTGATTAGCCGGGGAGTGTAAGAGTGGGAAAGAACATGCAAACTACTTTACAGGCTGCGGGATTTAGATTTTAGGGAGCTTAGGGCTATAGCTTTTAAAACAAGAGAGGAGACTGGCCTACATTTTTTCAATATCACCATTGGGGATCCTTAGGGCCTACTTCAGGATCCATCCCCTTACTCCCTCCTCAGCATGAGTTGGTTCTGGATTTAGTGGAGCTTGCGCTACAGGGTATATGGTAGGATCTCTCTATGCAGGCCTTGGTGCGAGCACAATGTAGGCCTCTTGAAGTGTTTAGTGTTCAAGGTTTCAGCGGCCTGTAGGGGTGCAAAAGTGTTAGATTTGTTCTGTGAAGCGCGGTTTGGGCTCAGTAGACTTAAAGCTGGAACAGCGGAATCCCTAACCCAATAGTCCCCCATGATTCAACCCAGCTGCACACCCTAAACTCTACACCCGACAACCATAAACACTAAATTTAATTCAGCTTCAACAAGTCGGCCCACAGTGCGCGCTCCTCCTGATCCTGAAGACTTGATATATAGGTATCAAGATTTGCTCTTCGGGGTTGAGTGCTTGGCATATCTCCGCCCCAGCCAAGATTCAACAGCTACCCTTCAAACCACAGTAGCTTGAACCACCACAATCACCACCTTCCCTGTTCCATCCAAAGCTTCTCGGAACTGAAGACTGAGCCGCAAAGCAAACTGGTTCTGAACTGCCCGCGCTGTGAAAGGCTTTTTGTGCGCGTTGCATGCAATCAATCCTTCAGAAGAACACATCCAGGCTAGAAATCTGCCCCCAACTTACTATTGATGTCCCCGCACCCATATCTGGAGGCATTGTCGACAGTATTGCTCAGCTAGTACTGCAAGGAACTGGACGTCCACTTTAGCTACGTGGATTACATCCCTAAGCCCTCCACCCTCGCCGCTGAATCCTAAATCCGGCACTTTGCCCCTTCCTGGATCCCAAACGTATGTAGAATTATTGCCTTTTGAGCTATTTTTAAGGATTTGGGGCGATTATCTTACCTACTTTTGGGGTTCAGGTGGGCAGAATCATGAACAGCTGCGGGAAGAGCTTGGAGATTGTCTGAGAAGGAAGGGCCGTAAACAACTGTTGAAGAAAGGTGGTTGACCAACACACCGTTTTTACGTGGGAATTCGGGGCAAGGAGTCTACTCACAACTGCAGAGGCCTAGAAATTGAAGCCAGCTTTCATGTCATTATCCATTTTCCTGTCCATTCTTGTGGTTATATCCCTAAACCCCATATTCCCTACCAAGATGCCTGATCACCTAGTCCCTACGTAGATAAACTCCGCAACCGGTACTACTTGCAGACTTTAGAGACTTCGAGCCCCAGAGAATGTGGACCCATGTGCCCAACTCAACTCTTTCCTGCCTCCTGAACCTCCACAGCAGCTGGTTCATCGCTTGAATCTCTCTCCGGCAAGGCCTTGAGGCGCAGATATTCAGCATGTAGGCGTGGGGTCAGCTCGACAGTAGAAAGTACCCTGATCAAGTGGCAGAGTTAAAGGTACAAGCTGAAAGTGTGATTGCATGCCTACTTGTAGCTTAGACTCCATAGGCATTGCCCTGAGCCCGAACCCCACATCCCCCAAGCCCTAAAAATCAACATCGTGGACGCTAAGCCCTAACTAGCCTTTGCGCCTTGAGCCCGAAACATTAAACCCAGCCATCAACCCTGAACCCTGAAGCTGAACTTTAGGCCCCTTCAAGTCCGCCTCAGCCTGATCAACGACACCTGTGCCCTCATCTTGCGGCACTGCGTCATCCACGATGCCCTGACAGGTAGGATTTAGTTTTATAAGGCTTGGGGTTCGTGAGTTCTATGTTCCTACCAAGTAGGATTTGTGTCTACAATTGTTTGGATTCACAGATCAGAAGGGTTCAAATTTTCGGGCGGGGGATTTAGGGGCATTGATCTTTCAGGCTCATGGTTCCGGATTCTGGGTCAAGATTTGGGGCTTACGCATTCAGCACTTCCTGTTCTTGGATTTGGAATGGTTGGCCTGGGAGCGTCAACGGTCTACAGGCCAAAACAAACTGTGGAGAAGCCTAATTGAGGCTTTGATGTCTTGGGCCGAGAGTTCTCTATCATGACTACTGTCCTTTCGAGGGGCGCTATGCTGGGGTTCTATGTCAGCTGGGGGGGGAACTAACGCGCTACAACTTAGGCGGTTTGCCTCCGATATCGTAGTACATTTACGTTTTACTCTCGCGGTGAAAGCTCACCCTACGCAAGTCTAGCCGTTCCCCAACTGTAAATCATTACAGCCGGCGCCAACCGCTGCCCAGGCTATGGCCATTGAAGAACTCTGGGGTGGTAAGCGTTAAAGGAGTTTAGGGGTCAAGGGTCTAGGGGCCCGCCCCCAACACGGAGATGGCCCCTTCTGCAGTAGCCTCCATCTAAGCTAAATAGTTTGGAGGAATGTACGAAGACCGCTGGAGTGCACGCATGACCCGGGCTTTAAGCCCTTTTACTTTGAAAGACTGTCAAGCGCATGCCAGCGCACTAAACAACCAGCCCTCTGTCGACCAGGGCAGAGCCGCAGCCTGTACAATGCGTATCCTCATCGGAACTGGACTCCAAGTCTGCCACCTGTGCCAAAAGCGCTGATTCTTGACCCTAGCAGAACAGCATAACCGCTACTGCCGCGCCTCTACACCACAGGGTTCGCAGTGGCCCATGTTCTGGCTCCTACAGCAGTGGGGGAAATTACCCAGACCCCAACCCCTCAAACACCCTACACCCCAAACCTTTACTTTCCAAACCTCCGAGGCCCATTAACAACCCCCCCCTCACCCCCGCAGCCTCAGAAGCTTCCAGCGGGGTGGCAGTTTCTGTTGGTTCGGAAGCGGCTTGGTGCAGAGCAGGTGCCTTTGGGGTCGATTAGGGATTAGGGTCCCTTAGGGTTAAAGATTAGGGTCTAAGGTTATAAGGCTTAAGGTTTAAGGTACTGTTTAAGGTTTAAGGCTGTAATCCTTCTGGGAATGGAAAAGAAGCTGGAAACTACTCTCATATCCGGGGTCTAAAGTTCAGGGTTTGAACGCTCCGGCTTCAGCATCCAGGTGATATGGACCTGCGCCCTGCCATGCCTGTTTACAACATCCCTTTTCAGGGGCTAAGTGTCCCCATAGAGTCTGTTAGTACGATAAGAATTTGATGATATGCTTAGGGTTCAAACTTATGGCTTGGCAATCTAGATCTAGGTTTGAAATGAAGTAGCACATGTGCCTGAGCATGTAAAGAAGGTTTAAGATGGTTAGGTACTCTGCAAGTAGTTGGGGCAAATCTATAAGGTGTTTAGGAGTCTGGCAGTGTTCGTCTCAGCTTGAACATTGCTAAAACACCTGCTGTACTGCTGTGGTTTAGGGCTTAGTTAGGGTCGTTTGGGTCTTGGAGCATGGTGTTGCTGCGAGGGGATTCGTGCGAATCTTCCATACTGCCGGTACAACTCCATGCCAGCTTGGACTCTGAAACCTGACCCATGTTGCGGGAATTCTTCTCGCAAGGGCCGATGCCAAGATGAATACTGAAGGTACTGAGGTGGTAACCCCTCTACTGTCTCTACCCTCCGTACCTTGCGGATCAGAAAAGCTTAAAAATCCAAACCTCCAAAGCAGAAGCTTACTGGAAGTTAGGCCCCACCCTCTAATAGTGACTACAGGGGAAGATTGTGTTAGGGGTCCCTAAACATGTATACATACACATTACTACACCACTGATACTGTGTGGGGGGCCTGGGGGGGGGCTTCCGAGTTTGAATTAGATGCTACTTAGTATAGGTCGCTCGGGAGGCTCTGTGTCCGAGTTGAGCTCACTCTTCTTTTCAATCAGCTTCATCATGACAATCAGTCGCTGGTTCACTCAGCTGTGCCAGCAGTCGCACGTTGTTGCAAGAAAGTACTGCCAGTAAGCTTTGGGCTCCCCCCGACCTCATGCCCCCTCAAGCCCCAAACATGAAATCCTACACCCCAAACCTCACCCTTAACCTCCGACCCGACAAGCACTCTCCCCAAGCCTAAGTCAATGAACCACCAACAAACCCTGAACTTCAAATCCCAGACTCGACACACGACACAAACTCTTTATCTGGTGGAACTCCACAGCCCCATGTCCTGTGAATGAAGCCCCTTACCTAACTAATCAAGACTCTACCAACTGAAGGTTGTAGTGTTTAGGGCTTAGGGTTCGGGGCTACTGTAACTATGCCGCTGACAAGCCCCCTAACCAAGCCCCGCAAGTCTGCTTGAAATCACCCCTTGGCCAGCTGTTTGAAACGGTGGCTGGGAAATGACAGAATGGAACATGGGTTGCGTTATGGGTGCTCAGGACTGGTACAAGGATCCATTCCTCCACTCACTCTTTAAACAACCCTAAACACCAAAGCTCAAGCCCTCAACGCTGAACCTCAAACCACAAGGCCTAGAACCTTAAACCGTAAAACCTGAACACAAAATGCAGAACCCGAAAAGCCCAAACCCCAAACGTTAGACCCTAACCTCGTAACCCCCAAGAGCCCCTAATGCCTCAACGCACTCCACCGCTTCAACGTTTTCGCCCAGTGCTTCGGCCTACCGAGCTTCAGAAGGAAGATCTGGAGAGTAGATTGCCATGAACTGCAATCCCCTAAGACGCGTAATGCACAGTTGTTGATAATTGTTCCCTGGGATTCTGCTACAATTATGAATACTAAAAGCCCCTAAGAGGATAGGAGTGACAGATTCCTGGAAGTTGCCCAACAGTAGTATACCATATTGGAGGTTCCAG